TCATCGTGTAAGGTCCAAGGATACTTTGAGTTGACTACCGATATATAGCCGTAAAAAAAATTGTCCAGAAAACTAAAAAAAAGTTAATCTACTTAAATTACTCACCCATTTGAAGTTGCTAAGTAGTAAGGTCTGCATCATAGCTTAACAGAAGATATTATAAGCATCATAGTACGTAAGGAATTGTAATTTTTTTACGGAATTTTATCCTTTGATAATGTATCTTTTGTTTGCTTTCGCATACTGGTTACAACATTTAGATATATAACCTCCCATACCTCTCTTGATGAAAAATAACATATCTTTATCGGAGAGAAGCTCTAATTTAACTTGTGTATATTTCAACATGGCATCCTATGTTAAACCAAGGGTCGTGTAGCAGTCTGTAGGATGAAGTCCGTACGCATTTTTACAAGTTGTACAAAAATATTTGCAAACATCTGCAAGCAAAAATACATCAGTTTTTAAGTGTAAATCTAAGTAGTAACCGAGAGATTTGACACTGAATGATTTCCGTACGTTTGAAGCATCGTGATGGACATTTTTAGAAATGTCGTTTTCGGTAAGTTTGCTATAAAAGTATTCTTTATTTGGAAATTAAAAATCTTTGTGATTTTTGAAGGAACTGACGTAATCATAATAAAAAATACCTTTTCTCATTAAAAAATTGATTTGATCTTGAATATAATCATTTTTCAAGAATATGCTTAAAGTTATATCTTATCGATATAAGTAGGATGCCAGCTTTTCCAACGATAACGGCATAAATTGAACTAGTCAATGAATTTGAAGCTTATATCACTACTATCAGTATATTTCGTAAAAAATTTGTATTTTATTTTATTTTCAGCAATCAGTATGACACGAACTTTAAAACTTGCTGCTGTCGCTATTTCCGTTATTTTAAAGTAAGAGTCATATCCAGTAAGATTATGAAATACAACAGGTATGTACCTTGAATCTTTATAGTTAACGTTACAACTCTTATAAGCAGCTCCTCTAAGTTCTCCCATTAAATCGTAATGATCTCTTACATTTTTTTTCAAAAGGTTTTTCCACAAATATGACATGATTATGCTTATGCAAAGTTTAACATTTCTCCATTCGTTATCCAAGATTCATTGTCTTTGGTTCCTTATACATTTAGTCTTGTGTATCTGCAAAAGATTTAAGGTTATCCACAAACTATTTTGTAGAAGTTTTAGCTCCAATAATATTTTCCTATTGTCTGTTGCTATGATAAATTAAGAATGCAGCGTCAAAACTGCACTGAATATAATATCTAGTTCTGTAAGCTTGATTTTTATGAAACTTTTGATCGTCATTTCCAACTGATTTTAAAATGTGCTCAAAGTCAGCATGTAAAATATACAAAGCTTTTTTAAATTGTGCTTTTATATTAAATTTTAAAGAAATTAAAACACCTATCACATATAAGGCACATGCCGTTATTACTTGGAAATTAAATTCTAACTGAACGTGATCAATTTTCAATTCAAACATAGTGGATCTTATGCTCTGAAACATTTACTTCACTAGTAGCTGCATCATGTGCACTTACTCCTTTCTTATTTTTAATAGTCTAGTTGTTCACGAGAACGCGTTTTTAAAAATGTAAACAAAGACCCTGAAGCTGCTGTTGCTGGTTGCGAGAGAGTACGGCCAAACTCAAACACATTCTTAGACGTCACATCCATGAACTAGCTTTTACAATTACATGTAAATTTACCAGCAAGTAAAATTTTGGCTATACTGGCTTTTCTCGCTCGCAGGCACGAGTAGTAAGGCTTTGTCTCTCGAGCAGATCAATCGCTCAGCAAAGCATAGTTGCGTCGTTAACGACCTTTTGCGACTTCTAACGTCGAACTTACCGAGTCTCGCTTAGCTCAAAGATTGTTCTGTTTTATTGTTTTTTCTTCTAATTAATTCATCTTGTTAATACTTTCAGTTGTTTCTTTTATTCCGTTTTCAAACAAGCAAGCAAGCATACATATTTTTGTCATATTATTAAGTTTATATTTATTGTTACCTGTTTTTTAGTAAATCTGATTTTATAAGTTAAACGAAACGAGTGCGTGATTTATTTATATTCTCGAGTTTCTTGCGAGATTTTGTCAAGCCCTCAAAGAAACGCTTTTGACGCTGTAAAGGCAATAATTTGATCCGGCGGCATAAAAGTCGGGTATCGCGATACGCCGTTGGCTATTTAATTAAAAATTTATAGTTGGCATTGTCGCGAAAATAAACATGGTATCAGAGCGTGGTTGCCTTTACTAGTGCCAAACAGTGACTTAAAGTCAAGCATTTGGAAAAGGCTTAAACTATTTTTAAGGATTTTGTACACCGTCGGCATCGACTGCACAAATCATACCCTTGGACTTGAGAGGAGAGAGTCGTCGTCAACAGGCAACACTCGGGCATTAGTGCTTATCATTTCAAGGCCTCCTCATTTATCGGCTTATACAACTCAGCTTGACCAGCGTATCATCAGCGGTATTTTGATGAGCTGGAGTTGGTAGGAGAGGTCGGTGTTGTCATACGTTGCTTCGGCTAAGGTACAGTGCCTCTTCGCTCTCTTTCTCTCGCACCTTTGTTTTTAAAACATCTCGCACTCGTCATTTTCAAGGCCAAATAGGTCGGTTATTTATTTAGATTCCAAAGGTTCTCGAATTTTTGAATGCTCATACATCTAGCCTTGTACGTAACGGAATATTTGCTTCCTTTCGTTTATATCGCACCTTTTTTTTCCTTCGTGAGCAGTATTTTTTTTTCACAAATTCGGCGTTTCTTTGGCATTTCATCAATAATATGGAAGAATTACTTGAAGAGCAATTAGTTAACTTCAAACTCGTTATGGATTTCCAAAAAACAATGTTAAAAACTCCTAAAGAAAAGCGTTCGATTGGTTGGTTTAAGACGCAACTCGAAAATTTAGAAAAACAGTGGGACGAATTTTATAAGCCGCACAAGAAACTTCTAGCATCAAAGGAAAGATTTAAGGACGATAAATATTATTATTCTATTATTCTATTATTCCTATATATACTATTATTCCTCAGCGATTGCACAATATACAAATACGAAGACTTTGATTTTAGGAGTAATAAATCCAGGACGCAATCAGTCATCGTTACAGGGTGTTAATAACTATGTCGATATAACTATGGAAAGCCCCTCCTATAGATCCCCTCTACCAAAAATCGAGTTGCCAAAATTTTCGGGTAAGCAACTTGAATGGGAAACATTCAAGGGAATGTTTATCGCGCTTATGCATGACACTCCAACGATTCCGCCAATCTTGAAGCTGCAATACCTAATTCTCTCGCTCGAAGGTGAAGCGGCTAATCGATTCAAAAATCTTCAGATTACTGCCGAAAACTATGAAAGTGCTTGGTTGTCAATTCAAGATCGTTACGACAACAAGAAAGTTCTTCTCGCAACACACATGTCTCATATCATTTCATGCCCGTCTATGCAAAAGAAATCGGTCACTGAAATAAATCGCATTATGTACGTCATGCGCGAGACTAAACAAGCTCTTGACAATTTGCATATTCCCGCTGAAAGAATGGGAGAGTTGTGGCTAACACATCATATAGTAAGTAAGCTCGATACATCAACACGATTAGAGTGGGAACGAGAGGCTGATAAGGCTAACGAATTTCCGACATACAACTCGCTCACCGAATTTTTCGAAAGGCTCATTCGTGTGTTAGAAGCAGCTTTACCTGCCACCTCAAGTAGCTCGAACTCTCAGTCGAAGTCAAGCTCGCAAAATTCATCGAACAAATCAAAATCGGTAGCTGCGTACACAACAGAAGTTACCTCAAACAAGAAAAATGCATCGTGTCTTTGCTGTCGTGGAACGCACTATCTTTTCGCATGTCAAAACTTTAAAAATTTAAGCTTGTCTCAAAGATATGATTTTTGCAAAAAAGAGAGGTTGTGTTTGAATTGTCTTCAAACTTCTCATTTTGCCAAGCATTGCCCTTCGCCTTAACGATGCTTTGTCTGTCAGGGCAAACACCACACAAGGTTACATAACGATTCTCAAGGATCGACATCAAAACCTGCAGTTGCAAACGACTCTTTGTCATTGTCTGACTCTAGAGACGCTTCTTTAGTCCATTTTTCGAGTCAGGGAATTGCTAAGAGTGTTTCAGCAGGCAAATCAATTCTTTTGGCTACTGCATCTGTAGCGCTAGCAGACGCACATGGCAACAAGGTCACTGTGCGTGCTCTCATCGATCCAGGAGCTGAGAGATCATTCGTCGCGGAACACGTGCTTTCGCAGCTTTCACTCAAAGCTCAGAAAATCTCTCGCTTGAAAACTGGCGTGGGAGCTGAGGTAACTTCGATCGCTCGAAAGGAAGTAAGTATCTCACTGCTCTCTAACGTCGATAAAAATTTTGTCATTCAGTTTTCGGCTTTGGTGTTGGACAAACTCACTAATCTCTTGCCAAAAGTCAAAACCAATGGTCACATACGAAAAGTCTTAACCTGGCCGATCCTTTATTCTTTAAGCCAAGTCGAATCGATTGCATCCTCGGTGCAGATGTTTATTCATCAATCATCATTGACGGCTTAGTGAAAGGTCCAGCGGGAACCCCAATAGCTCAGAACTCTGTGTTCGGATGGATTCTGATAGGAGCTCCTGCGAATAGTCAATCGTGTCATCATTCTTCAGCCAGGTGTTTCACACATACACTGAACCCTCTCTTGATAAATTCATGGAGAAATTCTGGGAGATAGAGGAGGTCCCTCAAGAAAGACACCTCACCCCAGAAGAGCAATTTTGTGAAGATTACTTCTCTCTTACTTACACTCGCAACCCTCAAGGTCGTTTCGTCGTTCGACTGCCATTTTTTAAGCAAGTCTCGTTTTCTGGTTCGTGAGATATAGCCGTAGCTTGTCTCTTTCGCTCTGAAAAGCGTCTAAACTTGGATTTAAAGCACATGGAATTAGTCCCGTTTAATCAAATTTCACGTGAAGCTTACTACATGCCTCATCATGCAGTTTTTAGACAAGATAAGCCTGGAAAAATCAGGGTAGTATTCAATGCTTCCCAAAAGGATGTAAGTAAATGTTCGCTTAATGATGCACTGTCTGCAGGTCCAAAACTTCAAGCGGACATCACAATCGTCTTAACTCGATGGCGATTTCAAAAATTAGTTTTTGTTACTGATATTATCAAAATGTTTCGACAGATTCTGATTCATCCTGATGATGCAGACTGGCAGCGCCTTGTGTGGCGACCCTCAGTTGCGCAGCCTTTGCAGGATTATAGAGCGCTTACCGTCACCTACGGCACGGCTCCAGCACCTTATTTGGCTCTTCGAGTACTCAAACAGCTGGCTCAGGACGGCCGTACGACGCATCCAGAGGCATCCAAGCTTCTGGACCATCAAATCTACGTGGACGACATATTCGGAGGCGCGAACGAGGTCGACTTAGCTATCGAACGACGTGATCAGCTGATCCAGCTTATGGCATCAGCAGGGATGGAGTTGGGTAAATGGTCAGCAAATAATCAAAGTCTTCTTGATGGAATTGTAGCTGGCAACATTGATGAGGTCTCCGTCGACGTGGATGAGGCGGTATCAACGCTAGGTCTCAAGTGGCTTCCTCAAGCAGATAATTTTATTTTTAAACCTACAGTAGCACCCTCTCCATCGATCATAACAAAGAGAATTATTCTCTCTGAAACTGCTAAATTATTTGATCCATTAGGTTGGCTTGCACCGGTCATCGTAACTGCAAAAATCATGATGCAGGATCTATGGATCAATAAGTTCGATTGGGACGTACCGATTTGAGGAGATCTCTTGCAGCAGTGGATGAAGTTCCGTAACTCTCTGACACAATTAGACGTCATTAAAGTGCCCAGATGGATAGGTTGTTCTGAAACATTTTCTTGGCAGCTTCACGGTTTTGCTGACGCTTCAAAGCGTGCCTACACTGCAGCAGTCTACGCTGTAGTTCCTGGTCAATCTTCGGTTCTTCTTATGGCCAAAACAAAGGTCGCCCCAACAAAAATGGAGACTCTTCCTCGGTTGGAGCTCTGTGGAGCACTGTTGCTTGTTTGCCTAACTAAGCACCTGCTACCTAAGCTGCATCGACAACCACAGTACATTCACTTCTGGTCCGACTCCAAAGTCGTGCTGAATTTGCTAAAAGGTCATCCATCAAGATGGCAAACCTTCATCGCCAATCGAGTAAGCGAAATTACATCTTTGTATCCACAAGCTGAGTGGCGACATGTAATGTCCTCGTACAATGCTGCCGACTGCGCAACTCGAGGACTTACACCTCAGCAACTCTCCGAACATAGCCTGTGGTGGTCAGGACCCATATGGATGACGTTACCACAATCGACATGGCCTTCAACAACAGATGATGACCACGCCGATCAACAGAACATTCAAGCATTGGTAATGCAGGAGGCAGCTTTACAAAAGCATGTCGACGACGACTGTCTGATATATCTGCAATGCTTCTCTAGTTTTGCTAAGATATGCCGTATCCTCGCCTATTGCGCGCGATGGATACTCAACGCTCGTCAGGTAACTGACAAACGTCAATATACTTACCTATCAGCTCAAGAGCTTTCTTGGGCTTCTGCCGCTTGTTTTAGAGCACTACAACGTCGACATTTTTCCATCGAATTGGAGCAGCTACAGGCCAACAAACCACTTTCTAAGCAAAGCAATTTGGTACGATTGGCACCCTACTTAGACGAGATTGGCCTCATTAGAGTTGGCGGCCGTTTAGAAAATGCTCCACTTCCATACAGTGAGCGACATCCTATCGTCCTGCCTGGCAATGACACAATCGTAAAGCGACTTGTCCAAGATACACACATTAATACACTGCATGGAGGAGTACAACTCATGCTCTCACAGTTGTAGAAAAGCACTGGGATTGGCCCTGCGTAGTCTATCCCAGTTATGGCGAATAGACGGAGTGGAGTAACTCTTTGAGCTGGTAGTGCAGCCATCTGCTGATGTCCACTTTTCTGGTTGTGTCTGATGCACTTGTAGCAATTCCAGTAGACTCGTGTGACGAGCTGATGGGCTCGTGTGATCCACACAGTTCGGTACTCCACTTCGTCCATTCGCCATAACTGGGATAGAATACGCAGGGCTAATCCCAGTGCTTTTCTCTAAAGGTCGGGGTGCAAAAAGCACGAAAGGTTATGTAGTAATTTTTGTTTGCTTTGTAGTCAGAGCTGTCCACATCGAAATCGTGTCTGATCTTACGACCGACGCATTCATGGCTGCGTATGATTGCTTCACAGCTCGACGAAGAGTCTGCGACACGATGTACTCAGACAACGCAACAACGTTTAAAAGGGCATCGGGGGAGCTTGCCCGCATGTTTTCTGAGACCTCTGAGTTTAACAAAATGGTTGCTGGTCAACTTGCAACTAGAGGCACAACATGGAAGTTTATTCCACCACGAGCGCCCCACTTTGGCGGCCTATGGGAGGCTGCAGTACGCAGCTTCAAGTATCACTTCAAAAGAGTAATTGGCGACTCCAAGCTTACTTTTAAAGAGCTTTCTACGCTGGCAGCTAAAGTTGAAGCTTGTCTAAACTCTCGCCCTCTATCCCCATTGAGTACAGAGCCCACCGAACTAACAGCTTTAACACCAGGGCACTTTCTCATTGGTTCATCGTGCCTCTCACATCCAGAAGAAGTCGAGAAAACGTTGCAGTTAAGCACTAGTAATCGCTGGAATTTGCTTTGCCAAATGCGCAACTCTTTCTGGAAACATTGGAGAGGCGGGTTTTACAACAGCTTCAGCAACGTAACAAGTGGTTACATCCTCAACCCAATCTACAAATAGATGATATTGTACTGTTAAGGGATGATCTTACTTCGCCAACGAAGTGGCCACTTGGAAGAGTCACGATGCTCCATCCTGGTAAGGACATATTCGTCAGAGCAGTCATGGTCAAGACGGCTGATAGTAGTTTTGTACGCCCTATCGTTAAGCTAATAAAGCTCCCAGTCAACACGGACGTAAATGGTACCTACCAGCAGCTACAATTAACGAATACAACTTCTTAACAATCCATGTGAAGTGATTTCAGCAAATTCAACGAAAAATTGACATTTTAATAATTTTAAAAAAAAAATTGTACTAGTATCGATTTTCTTTTATTTTTTTTTCAAACAATTTTTTTTCTAATCGAAGATTCGTTATGAATTTTTTACTTTTGTGAAACTTAATTACATATTGTAAGAAAATGAGCGATCCTCATTCACTTGTCTTGCCCTAGCATAAAAGAGAAATTTTAGTTTTACATTTTTTTTTTCTTTTTCATGAATTTTATATTAATTTTTTCTTTTTGTTTCGAGTTGCATACATATAAAAACTTGTATTTTTTAATAATTAATTTGCTGTGATACAGCAAGGTGGGCGGTATGTTCACGAGAACGCGTTTTTAAAATGAAAACAAAGACCCTGAAGCTGCTGTTGCTGGTTGCGAGAGAGTACGGCCGAACTCAAACACATTCTTAGACGTCACATCCATGAACTAGCTTTTACACTTACATGTAAATTTACCAGCAAGTAAAATTTCGGCTATACTGGCTTTTCTCGCTCGCAGGCACGAGTAGTAAGGCTTTGTCTTTCGAGCAGATCAATCGCTCAGCAAAGCATAGTTGCGTCGTTAACAACCTTTTGCGACTTCTAACGTCGAATTTACCGAATCTCGCTTATCTCAAAGATTGTTCTGTTTTATTGTTTTTTTTTTCTTCTAATTAATTCATCTTGTTAATACTTTTAGTTGTTTCTGTTATTCCATTTTCAAACAAGCAAGCAAGCACACATATTTTTGTTATATTATTAAGTTTATATTTATTGTTACCTGTTTGTTAATAAATCTGGTTTTAAAAGTTAAACGAAACGAGTGCGTGGTTTATTTATATTCTTGAGTTTCTTGCGAGATTTTGTCAAGCCCTCAAAGAAACACTTTTGAGGCTGTAAATGCAATAATTTGATCCGGTGGCATAAAAGTCGGATATTGCGATACGCCGTTGGCTATTTAATTAAAAATTTATAGTTGGCATTGTCGCGAAAATAAACACTAGTAATTCTAAAAGAAAAAGAAATTTGCATGCTTTTTTTCTTCATCAAAGTGGTATAGTATGGAGCAACGTTGTAATTCTGGAGGATGTATAAGTTGATGGATACACGATTTTGTTTTTTAAATTTTACAATATCTTTTACTAATACTGGAAACTTCATATCACCAAAGTTGAGTTCATTTTAATACTGCATGTACTGATTGACACGCTCACTTTGTGATATTGCAAAATGCATAGCAAGCAATACTACTAACAAAAAACGCTTATTATCATTGTTCTTTTCATTAACACAAGCTTTTCTTATTTTGAATGACTTGCGGTAATTCGATGTACAAACTCTCTTTCATCGGATTCAACTTACTCATATTTATTACTAAACGCAAAATCTGTTGCAATAACCAGCCTAAATCTTTCTCTGTAAAGTCTTCTATCTGTTGTATCAGTGTCTCACTTACATGGTAATCAAACCACTTACTCAGATTTGTTGATTTATAAACTGGAGAAATTTTAATATTAAAGTATTTAATTTCAATACCCTCAGAGTAATCTTTATGTAGTACATATTTACCCAAAAGCTTAGCGTCTACCTTCAATGTGCTGTAACCTTGCAGAGCTACCATAATATTTTCTTTAACTTAAAATTTAGAATCATCTAAAAATGATTCAATGTCTAGGTGTGCAAGATTCGTAGTAATATCTAATCTCATACGTTTATCAAAAGCCAACGCAACATCATTTTGCTACATCAGTATTACTGATACATTTAATTGTGCTCTTAACTTTTTTCCAGTTTTATATGAAAGTCTTGTAAACTTATTCTTAATGCTGACTGTATTAGCTGTGAGCACTACACACGACTGCTTTTTTGTTTTGGTTAATTTTGACGTAGTAAGCAACTCTTTGAGGTAGAAATTGCCTCTCAAGATAATTATAGTTGTCTATGTAAGTCTAAATCATCTACATTGTGCCAACTATGTGATCTAATGATTGCAGCAATATTCTCACAGTTTAGAGTATTGTAAGTCTGCCGTTGTATTAGTAATCCTTGATTCAGCTGAAACGACTCCTAGAAAGCTGAAACATAAAATGATAACTTTTATTATTTCACACTTTTTACGTATGTTTTCTCATGAGGCTTCTCAGTATTATAAGATATAATCAATAGAATGAAAGTGGACGAGAGCCACATCCAGCACTCCCTTTCTGTGTAGAACAACCATATAACACACGTACTCCATAAACTTATCTCTCTTAATTTTTTTATTTTTTTTTTTCTTATAACATTACAATGACATAGAAGACTACAAATAAAATTTATTTGGGGCACACTCTTCATTATCTTCCTCTTTTTAGTTGTTTTGTTACTAATGATTCTAACTCTGCATCCTTAAAAAATCGACGGTGGTTATATAGTCGCAAGTCTAAAACCAATGATCTTAGTGGAGGTAATGGCAGTGATTTTGAAAAGACTCTATCAAAGAATTAACCTAAGATCCCTCCTGCTGTAGTTTCTCCTACCTGCGTTCGTCTTGATGAATCAGTTGATGGTAATCGGTATGACTAACAAGTACTCGGTTCTCCTTTATCTTCTTTCTCCTTCTTTTCATGAAATAATTAAACCACTGAAAGTTAATGGATATTCGTCATTATCAACGTTGTAAAAAGGATTTTCGTAAACGTTGTTTCGATGAACCACATCTATTCCTTAACAGTCTCCATTTTCAAGTTTTTCCTTACACAAATCTAGTTATGATAAAGAAGGTGGCTTAGTTTTATATACATTCTAAAGGTTCTCTTCATCCGAATTTGATACTGGTACAAAAGGTGGCTCATTTTTCAGAATCGTACCTGATCGTAATGCATACATTATTTCGATTGCATGGATTCAAAATTTCGACGAGGTTAGCAGAGATAATGTTACTAAAAAAAGTTTATTTTGTCTGACAAAAGTTGACACCAAAAGTCCTCTTCACTTATGATTAACTTTAAAAATAACTTTTTACCTACAATTACAGTTAGAAAAATTAAATATTCAATAAAATACACTCACATAAATGCATATCTTTATTTTGATAATGATACTCATTGATGTGCTCTCAACTAACACCAATCGAGAAATAGCTGCTCTTTTGCTCAATCATCCTTATCGGCTTTTATGAGAGTAAAAAACTGTAGATATTTGCTTTCACGAAAGTGAGAGAACGAAAACACCTGCTGTGCAGGCGTATTTCATCTTGTTGTCTCTGCTGCTACTTATATGCTTCTGACTTAGTTAAAACGAAGAATGACTGCTTCGATGCTCACTGCTGCGCTACCTCATCACCTTATATACCTGGAGTGGAAGTACTGTGCGTATGCGCAAAAGAGTTAGAACATACTCAGAATCTCTATGTATGGAGGTTGCAAGCTGCAGGAAGGCCATTCATCGGTGAGTCGTCGAACCGAAAGAAATCACGGAAAAAAAGCAGCTTAAGCGCTAAACAACAAGTCTTCAATACGATGAGGATTAATCTGAGCTAGAGTGAATACGCTACGCTGTTTGGCTGCAAGGCTTCAAAAGTGTTCTAATATCTTTATCTTGAAGGAGGCCACACTTATGACACTTTAAGAAGGTACTACACCTATAGTTTACCATTTTTAAGAGCCTTGCAAGTGATTAAAGCTGTTACCAAGTGAACGCTAGACTAGTCAATGGTTAAAATTCAATTATTCATAAGATTTCATGGGCATCTGGTTCCATATCTGATAATAAAGTTGTCCTTTCCTTACGAAGCTGTATGAAAAACGCTAGAAAGGTATTTGTAAAAAGGTTAGAGAAGAAGAGGCCTGAAGACATTTTATGTAACAAGTAAGTGAGCACTGATAATACTTTTAACCTAATTTACATAACAGTTTATTTTCAGAGTAATTAACAGTGTGGATTAAATAAAATGTCCTTTAATAAAAAGCTTGAACGATGATAAAAGAATTTTTCGTTCAAATCATTTATTAAGGAAGATTCGAAAAGTTGCAAAAAAAAAAATGTACACAGTGACAAACTAGCTTGTAAACTACTGNTTCTGTTTTATTGTTTTTTTTTTTCTTTTCTAATTAATTCATCTTGTTAATACTTTTAGTTGTTTCTGTTATTCCATTTTCAAACAAGCAAGCAAGCACACATATTTTTGTTATATTATTAAGTTTAAATTTATTGTTACCTGTTTGTTAATAAATCTAGTTTTAAAAGTTAAACGAAACGAGTGCGTGGTTTATTTATATTCTCGAGTTTCTTGCGAGATTTTGTCAAGCCCTCAAAGAAACGCTTTTGACGCTGTAAAGGCAATAATTTGATCCGGTGGCATAAAAGTCGGATATTGCGATACGCCGTTGGCTATTTAATTAAAAACTTATAGTTGGTATTGTCGCGAAACAAACATGGTAGCAGAGCGTGATTGCCTTTACTTGTGTCAAACAGTGACTTGAAGTCAAGCATTTGGAAAAGGCTTAAACTATTTTCTAGGATTTTGTACACCGTCGGCATCGACTGCACAAATCATACCCTTGGACTTGAGAGGAGAGAGTCGTCGTCAACAGGCAACACTCGGGCATTAGTGCTTATCATTTCTAGGCCTCCTTATTTATCGGTTCATACAACTCAGCTTGACCAGCGTATCTTCAGTGGTATTTTGATGAGCTGGAGTTGGTGGTAGAGGTTGGTGTTGTCATACGTTGCTTCGGCTAAGGTACAGTGCCTCTTCGCTCTCTTTCTCTCGCTCCTTTGTTTTTAAAACATCTCGCACTCGTCGTTTTCAAGACCAAATAGGTCGGTTATTTATTTAGATTCCAAAGGTTCTCGAATTTTTGAATGCTTATTTATCTAGCCTTGTGCGTAACGGAATATTTGCTTTCTTTCGTTTATATCGCACCTTTCTTTTCGTTCGTGAGCAGTATTTTGTTTTCACAAGTTCGGCGTTTCTTTGGCATTTCATCAATAATATGGAAGAATTACTTGAAGAGCAATTAGTTAACTTCGAACTCGTTATGGATTTCCAAAAAACAATGTTAAAAACTCCTAAAGAAAAGCGTTCGATTAGTTAGTTTAAGACGCAACTCGAAAATTTAGAAAAACAGTTGGACGAATTTTATAAGCCACACAAGAAACTTCTAGCATCAAAGGAAATATTTAAGGACGAGAATTATTTCGAGGTAGACTATTATTCCTCAGCGATTGCACAATATACAAATACGAAGACTTTGATTTTAGGAGTAATAAATCCAGGACGCAATCAGTCATCGTTACAGGGTGATAATAACTATGTCGATATAACTATGGAAAGCCCCTCCTATAGATCCCCTCTACCAAAAATTGAGTTGCCAAAATTTTCGGGTAAGCAACTTGAATGGGAAACATTCAAGGGAATGTTTATCGCGCTTACACATGACGCTCCAACGATTCCGCCAATCTTGAAGCTGCAATACCTAATTCTCTCGCTCGAAGGTGAAGCGGCTAATCGATTAAAAAATCTTCAGATTACTGCCGAAAACTATGAAAGTGCTTGGTTATCAATTCAAGATCGTTACGACAACAAAAAAGTTCTTCTCGCAACACACATGTCTCATATCATTTCATGCCCGTCTATGCAAAAGAAATCGGTCGCTGAAATAAATCGCATTATGGACGTCACGCGCGAGACCAAACAAGCTCTTGACAATTTGCATATTGCCGCTGAAAGAATGGGAGAGTTGTGGCTAACACATCATATAGTAAGTAAGCTCGATACATCAACACGCTTAGAGTGGGAACGAAAGGCTGATAAGGCTAACGAATTTCCGATATATAACTCGCTCACCGAATTTCTCGAAAGGCTCGTTCGTGTGTTAGAAGCAGCTTCACCTGCCACCTCAAGTTGCTCGAACTCTCAGTCGAAGTCAAGCTCGCAAAATTCATCGAACAAATCAAAATGTGTCTTTGCTGTCGTGGAACGCACTATCTTTTCTCATGTCAAAACTTTAAAAGTTTAAGCTTGTCTTAAAGATATGATTTCTGCAAAAAAAAGAAGTTGTGATTGAATTGTCTTCAAACTTCTCATTTTGCCAAGCATTGCCCTTCGCCTAAACGATGCTTTGTCTGTCAGGGCAAACACCACACAAGGTTACATAACGATTCTCAAGGATCGACATCACAACCTGCAGTTGCAAACGACTCTTTGTCATCGTCCGACTCTAGAGACGCTTCTTTAATCCATTTTTCGAGTCAGGGAATTGCTAAGAGTGTTTCAGCAGGCAAATCAATTCTTTTGGCTACTGCATCTGTAGCGCTAGCAGACGCAGGCAAATCAATTCTTTTGGCTACTGCATCTGTAGCGCTAGCAGACGCACATGGCAACAAGGTCACTGTGCGTGCTCTCATCGATCCAGGAGCTGAGAGATCATTCGTCGCGGAACATGTGCTTTCGCAGCTTTCACTCAAAGCTCAGAAAATCTCTCGCTTGATAACTGGCGTGGGAGCTGAGGTAACTTTGATCGCTCGAAAGGAAGTAAGTATCTCACTGCTCTCTAACGTCGATAAAAATTTTGTCATTCAGTTTTCGGCTTTGGTGTTGGACAAACTCACTAATCTCTTGCCAAAAGTCGAAGTTGATCAAAACCAATGGTCACATACGAAAAGTCTCAACCTGGCCGATCCTTTATTCTTTAAGCCAAGTCGAATCGATTGCATCCTCGGTGCAGATGTTTATTCATCAATCATCATTGACGGCTTAGTGAAAGGTCCAGCGGGAACCCCAATAGCTCAGAACTCTATGTTCGGATGGATTCTGACAGGAGCTCCTACGAATAGTCAATCGTGTCATCATTCTTCAGTTCAGGTGTTTCACACATACACTGAACCCTCTCTCGATAAATTCATGGAGAAATTCTGGGAGATAGAGGAGGTCCCTCAAGAAAGACACCTCACCCCAGAAGAGCAATTTTGTGAAGATTACTTCTCTCTTACTTACACTCGCAACCCTCAAGGTCGTTTCGTTGTTCGACTGCCATTTTTTAAGCAAGTCTCGTTTTCTGGTTCGCGAGATATAGCCGTAGCTTGTCTCTTTCGCTCTGAAAAGCGTCTAAACAAAAATCTACTCCTCGCCGACAAGTACAAGGCTTTCATGCAGGAGTACTTGGATTGAAAGCACATGGAATTAGTCCCGTTTAATCAAATTTCACGTGAAGCTTACTACATGCCTCATCATGCAGTTCTTAGACAAGATAAGCCTGAAAAAATCAGGGTAGTATTCAATGCTTCCCAAAAGGATGTAAGTAAATGTTCGCTTAATGATGCACTGTCTGCAGGTCCAAAACTTCAAGCGGACATCACAATCGTCTTAACTCGATGGCGATTTCAAAAATTAGTTTTTGTTACTGATATTATCAAAATGTTTCGACAGATTCTGATTCATCCTGATGATGCAGACTGGCAGCGCCTTGTGTGGCGACCCTCAGTTGCGCAGCCTTTGCAGGATTATAGAGCGCTTACCGTCACCTACGGCACGGCTCCAGCACCTTCTTTGGCTCTTCGAGTACTCAAACAGCTGGCTCAGGATGGCCATACGACACATCCAGAAGCATCCAAGCTTCTGGACCATCAAATATACGTGGACGACATACTCGGAGGCGCGAACGAGGTCGACTTAGCTATCGAACGACGTGATCAGCTGATCCAGCTTATGGCATCAGCAGGGATGGAGTTGGGTAAATGGTCAGCAAATAATCAAAGTCTTCTTGATGGAATTGTAGCTGGCAACATTGATGAGGTCTCCGTCGACGTGGATGAGGCGGTATCAACGCTAGGTCTCAAGTGGCTTCCTCAAGCAGATAATTTTATTTTTAAACCTACAGTAGCACCCTCTCCATCGATCATAACAAAGAGAATTATTCTCTCTGAAACTGCTAAATTATTTGATCCATTAGGTTGGCTTGCACCGGTCATCGTAACTGCAAAAATCATGATGCAGGATCTATGGATCAATAAGTTCGATTGGGACGTACCGATTCGAGGAGATCTCTTGCAGCAGTGGATGAAGTTCCGTAACTTTCTGACAAAATTAGACGTCATTAAAGTACCCAGATGGATAGGTTGTTCTGAAACATTTTCTTGGCAGCTTCACGATTTTGCTGACGCTTCAAAGCGTGCCTACACTGCAGCAGTCTACGCTGTAGTTCCTGGTCAATCTTCGGTTCTTCTTATGGCCAAAACAAAGGTCGCCCCAACAAAAATGGAGACTCTTCCTCGGTTGGAGCTCTGTGGAGCACTGTTGCTTGTTTGCCTAACTAAGCACCTGCTACCTAAGCTGCATCGACAACCACAGTACATTCACTTCTGGTCCGACTCCAAAGTCGTGCTGAATTTGCTAAAAGGTCATCCATCAAGATGGCAAACCTTCATCGCCAATCGAGTAAGCGAAATTACATCTTTGTATCCACAAGCTGAGTGGCGACATGTAATGTCCTCGTACAATGCTGCCGACTGCGCAACTCGAGGACTTACACCTCAGCAACTCTCCGAACATAGCCTGTGGTGGTCAGGACCCATATGGATGACGTTACCACAATCGACATGGCCTTCAACAACAGATGATGACCACGCCGATCAACAGAACATTCAAGCATTGGTAATGCAGGAGGCAGCTTTACAAAAGCATGTCGACGACGACTGTCTGATATATCTGCAATGCTTCTCTAGTTTTGCTAAGATATGCCGTATCCTCGCCTATTGCGCGCGATGGATACTCAACGCTCGTCAGGTAACTGACAAACGTCAATATACTTACCTATCAGCTCAAGAGCTTTCTTGGGCTTCTGCCGCTTGTTTTAGAGCACTACAACGTCGACATTTTCCCATCGAATTGGAGCAGCTACAGGCCAACAAACCACTTTCTAAGCAAAGCAATTTGGTACGATTGGCACCCTACTTAGACGAGATTGGCCTCATTAGAGTTGGCGGCCGTTTAGAAAATGCTCCACTTCCATACAGTGAGCGACATCCTATCGTCCTGCCTGGCAATGACACAATCGTAAAGCGACTTGTCCAAGATACACACATTAATACACTGCATGGAGGAGTACAACTCATGCTCTCACAGTTGTACCGAACTGTGTGGATCACACGAGCTCATCAGCTCGTCACACGAGTCTACCGGAATTGCTACAAGTGCATCAGACACAACCAGAAAAGTGGACATCAGCAGATGGCTGCACTACCAGCTCAAAGAGTTACTCCACTTCGTCCATTCGCCATAACTGGGATAGACTACGCAGGACCAATCCCAGTGCTATTCTCCAAAGGTCGGGGTGCAAAAAGCACGAAAGGTTATGTAGTAATTTTTATTTGCTTTGTAGTCAGAGCTGTCCACATCGAAATCGTGTCTGATATTACGACCGACGCATTCATGGCTGCGTATGATCGCTTCACAGCTCGACGAGGAGTCTGCGACACGATCTACTCAGACAACGCAACAACGTTTAAAAGGGCATCGGGGGAGCTCGCCCGCATGTTTTCTGAGACCTCTGAGTTCAACAAAACGGTCGCTGGTCAACTTGCAACTAGAGGCACAACATGGAAGTTTATTCCACCACGAGCGCCTCACTTTGGTGGCCTATGGGAGGCTGCAGTACGCAGCTTTAAGTATCACTTCAAAAGAGTAATTGGCGACTCCAAGCTTACTTTTGAAGAGCTTTCTACGCTGGCAGCTAAAGCTGAAGCTTGTCTAAACTCTCGCCCTCTATCCCCATTGAGTACAGAGCCCACCGAACTAACAGATTTAACACCAGGGCACTTTCTCATTGGTTCATCGTGCCTCTCACATCCAGAAAAAGTCGAGAAAACGTTGCAGTTAAGCACTAGTAATCGCTGGAATTTGCTATGCCAAATGCGCAACTCTTTCTGGAAACGTTGGAGAGGCGAGGTTTTACAACAGCTTCAGCAACGTAACAAGTGGTGACATCCTCAACCCAATCTACAAATAGATGATATTGTACTCTTAAGGGATGATCTTACTCCGCCAACGAAGTGGCCACTTGGAAGAGTCACGACGCTCCATCCTGGTAAGGACAGATTCGTCAGAGCAGTCACGGTCAAGACGGCTGATAGTAGCTTTGTACGCCCTATCGTTAAGCTAATAAAGCTCCCAGTCGACACGGACGTTAATGATACCTACAAGCAGCTACAATTAACGAATACAACTTCTTAACAATCCATGTGAAGTGATTTCAGTAAATTCAACAAAAAATTGACATTTTCATAATTTAAAAAAAAAATTGTACTAGTATCGATTTTTTTTTCTTTTTTTTTTCAAAAAATTTTTTTCTAATCGAAGATTCGTTATGTATTTTTTACTTTTGTGAAACTTAATTACATATTGTAAGAGGATGAGCGATCCTCATTCGCTTGTCTTGCCCTAGCATAAAAGAGAAATTTCAGTTTTACCTTTTTTTTTTCTTTTTCATGAATTTTATATTAATTTTTTCTTTTTGTTTCGAGTTGCATACATATAAAAACTTGTATTTTTTAATAATTAATTTGCTGTGATACAGCAAGGTGGGCGGTATGTTCACGAGAACGCGTTTTTAAAATGAAAACAAAGACCCTGAAGCTGCTGTTGCTGGTTGCGAGAGAGTACGGCCGAACTCAAACACATTCTTAGACGTCACATCCATGAACTAGCTTTTACACTTACATGTAAATTTACCAGCAAGTAAAATTTCGGCTATACTGGCTTTTCTCGCTCGCAGGCACGAGTAGTAAGGCTTTGTCTTTCGAGCAGATCAATCGCTCAGCAAAGCATAGTTGCGTCGTTAACAACCTTTTGCGACTTCTAACGTCGAATTTACCGAATCTCGCTTATCTCAAAGATTGTTCTGTTTTATTGTTTTTTTTTTCTTCTAATTAATTCATCTTGTTAATACTTTTAGTTGTTTCTGTTATTCCATTTTCAAACAAGCAAGCAAACTCGAGTTTCTTGCGAGATTTTGTCAAGCCCTCAAAGAAACGCTTTTGACGCTGTAAAGGCAATAATTTGATCCGGCGGCATAAAAGTCGGGTATCGCGATACGCCGTTGGCTATTTAATTAAAAATTTATAGTTGGCATTGTCGCGAAAATAAACATGGTATCAGAGCGTGGTTGCCTTTACTAGTGCCAAACAGTGACTTGAAGTCAAGCATTTGGAAAAGGCTTAAACTATTTTTAAGGATTTTGTACACCGTCGGCATCGACTGCACAAATCATACCCTTGGACTTGAGAGGAGAGAGTCGTCGTCAACAGGCAACACTCGGGCATTAGTGCTTATCATTTCAAGGCCTCCTCATTTATCGGCTTATACAACTCAGCTTGACCAGCGTATCATCAGCGGTATTTTGATGAGCTGGAGTTGGTAGGAGAGGTCGGTGTTGTCATACGTTGCTTCGGCTAAGGTACAGTGCCTCTTCGCTCTCTTTCTCTCGCACCTTTGTTTTTAAAACATCTCGCACTCGTCATTTTCAAGGCCAAATAGGTCGGTTATTTATTTAGATTCCAAAGGTTCTCGAATTTTTGAATGCTCATACATCTAGCCTTGTACGTAACGGAATATTTGCTTCCTTTCGTTTATATCGCACCTTTTTTTTCCTTCGTGAGCAGTATTTTTTTTTCACAAATTCGGCGTTTCTTTGGCATTTCATCAATAATATGGAAGAATTACTTGAAGAGCAATTAGTTAACTTCAAACTCGTTATGGATTTCCAAAAAACAATGTTAAAAACTCCTAAAGAAAAGCGTTCGATTGGTTGGTTTAAGACGCAACTCGAAAATTTAGAAAAACAGTGGGACGAATTTTATAAGCCGCACAAGAAACTTCTAGCATCAAAGGAAAGATTTAAGGACGATAAATATTATTATTCTATTATTCTATTATTCCTATATATACTATTATTCCTCAGCGATTGCACAATATACAAATACGAAGACTTTGATTTTAGGAGTAATAAATCCAGGACGCAATCAGTCATCGTTACAGGGTGTTAATAACTATGTCGATATAACTATGGAAAGCCCCTCCTATAGATCCCCTCTACCAAAAATCGAGTTGCCAAAATTTTCGGGTAAGCAACTTGAATGGGAAACATTCAAGGGAATGTTTATCGCGCTTATGCATGACACTCCAACGATTCCGCCAATCTTGAAGCTGCAATACCTAATTCTCTCGCTCGAAGGTGAAGCGGCTAATCGATTCAAAAATCTTCAGATTACTGCCGAAAACTATGAAAGTGCTTGGTTGTCAATTCAAGATCGTTACGACAACAAGAAAGTTCTTCTCGCAACACACATGTCTCATATCATTTCATGCCCGTCTATGCAAAAGAAATCGGTCACTGAAATAAATCGCATTATGTACGTCATGCGCGAGACTAAACAAGCTCTTGACAATTTGCATATTCCCGCTGAAAGAATGGGAGAGTTGTGGCTAACACATCATATAGTAAGTAAGCTCGATACATCAACACGATTAGAGTGGGAACGAGAGGCTGATAAGGCTAACGAATTTCCGACATACAACTCGCTCACCGAATTTTTCGAAAGGCTCATTCGTGTGTTAGAAGCAGCTTTACCTGCCACCTCAAGTAGCTCGAACTCTCAGTCGAAGTCAAGCTCGCAAAATTCATCGAACAAATCAAAATCGGTAGCTGCGTACACAACAGAAGTTACCTCAAACAAGAAAAATGCATCGTGTCTTTGCTGTCGTGGAACGCACTATCTTTTCGCATGTCAAAACTTTAAAAATTTAAGCTTGTCTCAAAGATATGATTTTTGCAAAAAAGAGAGGTTGTGTTTGAATTGTCTTCAAACTTCTCATTTTGCCAAGCATTGCCCTTCGCCTTAACGATGCTTTGTCTGTCAGGGCAAACACCACACAAGGTTACATAACGATTCTCAAGGATCGACATCAAAACCTGCAGTTGCAAACGACTCTTTGTCATTGTCTGACTCTAGAGACGCTTCTTTAGTCCATTTTTCGAGTCAGGGAATTGCTAAGAGTGTTTCAGCAGGCAAATCAATTCTTTTGGCTACTGCATCTGTAGCGCTAGCAGACGCACATGGCAACAAGGTCACTGTGCGTGCTCTCATCGATCCAGGAGCTGAGAGATCATTCGTCGCGGAACACGTGCTTTCGCAGCTTTCACTCAAAGCTCAGAAAATCTCTCGCTTGAAAACTGGCGTGGGAGCTGAGGTAACTTCGATCGCTCGAAAGGAAGTAAGTATCTCACTGCTCTCTAACGTCGATAAAAATTTTGTCATTCAGTTTTCGGCTTTGGTGTTGGACAAACTCACTAATCTCTTGCCAAAAGTCAAAACCAATGGTCACATACGAAAAGTCTTAACCTGGCCGATCCTTTATTCTTTAAGCCAAGTCGAATCGATTGCATCCTCGGTGCAGATGTTTATTCATCAATCATCATTGACGGCTTAGTGAAAGGTCCAGCGGGAACCCCAATAGCTCAGAACTCTGTGTTCGGATGGATTCTGATAGGAGCTCCTGCGAATAGTCAATCGTGTCATCATTCTTCAGCCAGGTGTTTCACACATACACTGAACCCTCTCTTGATAAATTCATGGAGAAATTCTGGGAGATAGAGGAGGTCCCTCAAGAAAGACACCTCACCCCAGAAGAGCAATTTTGTGAAGATTACTTCTCTCTTACTTACACTCGCAACCCTCAAGGTCGTTTCGTCGTTCGACTGCCATTTTTTAAGCAAGTCTCGTTTTCTGGTTCGTGAGATATAGCCGTAGCTTGTCTCTTTCGCTCTGAAAAGCGTCTAAACTTGGATTTAAAGCACATGGAATTAGTCCCGTTTAATCAAATTTCACGTGAAGCTTACTACATGCCTCATCATGCAGTTTTTAGACAAGATAAGCCTGGAAAAATCAGGGTAGTATTCAATGCTTCCCAAAAGGATGTAAGTAAATGTTCGCTTAATGATGCACTGTCTGCAGGTCCAAAACTTCAAGCGGACATCACAATCGTCTTAACTCGATGGCGATTTCAAAAATTAGTTTTTGTTACTGATATTATCAAAATGTTTCGACAGATTCTGATTCATCCTGATGATGCAGACTGGCAGCGCCTTGTGTGGCGACCCTCAGTTGCGCAGCCTTTGCAGGATTATAGAGCGCTTACCGTCACCTACGGCACGGCTCCAGCACCTTATTTGGCTCTTCGAGTACTCAAACAGCTGGCTCAGGACGGCCGTACGACGCATCCAGAGGCATCCAAGCTTCTGGACCATCAAATCTACGTGGACGACATATTCGGAGGCGCGAACGAGGTCGACTTAGCTATCGAACGACGTGATCAGCTGATCCAGCTTATGGCATCAGCAGGGATGGAGTTGGGTAAATGGTCAGCAAATAATCAAAGTCTTCTTGATGGAATTGTAGCTGGCAACATTGATGAGGTCTCCGTCGACGTGGATGAGGCGGTATCAACGCTAGGTCTCAAGTGGCTTCCTCAAGCAGATAATTTTATTTTTAAACCTACAGTAGCACCCTCTCCATCGATCATAACAAAGAGAATTATTCTCTCTGAAACTGCTAAATTATTTGATCCATTAGGTTGGCTTGCACCGGTCATCGTAACTGCAAAAATCATGATGCAGGATCTATGGATCAATAAGTTCGATTGGGACGTACCGATTTGAGGAGATCTCTTGCAGCAGTGGATGAAGTTCCGTAACTCTCTGACACAATTAGACGTCATTAAAGTGCCCAGATGGATAGGTTGTTCTGAAACATTTTCTTGGCAGCTTCACGGTTTTGCTGACNTGAGCACTGATAATACTTTTAAACCTAATTTACATAACAGTTTATTTTCAGAGTAATTAACAGTGTGGATTAAATAAAATGTCCTTTAATAAAAAGCTTGAACGATGATAAAAGAATTTTTCGTTCAAATCATTTATTAAGGAAGATTCGAAAAGTTGCAAAAAAAAATGTACACAGTGACAAACTAGCTTGTAAACTACTGATTACTTCTTCTTTTTTAAGTGGAAGAAAAAAATATTAATAATTTTCATAAATAATTTTATAATTCAATTTTAATCAATTGATAATTTAAAAAACGAAAAAAACCTTATGGAGAAAAAATAATACGAAGGTGCTTTTCACAAGTAACGGTGTTCGGTGGATTTTATATTACTTTTTTTTTCTTTTTAATAATTTTATAATAAATTTATGTTCACTTAATGTAACCACAACGCACACACTTAATAGCAGCACAAGGTCTTTATGTAATAGTGACGTTGATGATACCTGAGAGTGGCATTAGCAGCAGTGCAATAATGCACACATTTAATGGCAGCACGAGGTCAACACGCGAGAGTGACGTGAACGAATATAAAAGTGGCATTGACCGCATTTTTTGCAGTACAACAATCCACACACTTAACAGGTGGCATGACTACAATTGGCAGAGGCAAACAGTTGAATGTCTGAGAGCAGCCAGTTCAGCAGTGGACTACTGTGCGACAACACTACCTGCGTGCTGTTTGCTGCTACTGCACAATAATGTGCGCAGAAAAGAGTGAAGGTATTAAAGCGCCCTAGTGAGAGGTAGTAGGGACTCTTTCTGTGCAGTACTGGGTGTAGTAAAAATTGGGGGTAGTGAGGTAATGGGACTCAACGTATAAGCACTCTTAATCCAGTAGCATTACGGCCACCAGGCCAAAAACTCCGATAAGGATTCTAATTTGTTTACTAGTTTTTATCCAGTAATTCACGCTAGTTAATTAAAATTTCTACTGGATTAGAATTCTTAAAGAATTTTAAATCTTATAGTTTACTTATTGTCAGCACTCTTTGGCCATTACGTTTCAACGATATATTTATGATTGAGATGAGCTTAGTAGTATGACAGTACCATTGCATAGGTTGTAGGTATTCAAATCAACCAACTTTCGAAGTTATTCTCAAATCCATGAGTAATAATTACACAACTTAGTTCATATATTGATAAGGTATCAGGAGCACAGGGTAAATGGTATGGTTGCCCTCTCTAGGAATAGCAGAGAAACAACCGTTATCGGTAGCTTCTCTTGGGATTTTCGGGTAGCCGACTACAAAAACCATGTTAGCAAGTATTCTCAAGGTACCTGGAGTACAGAGTAGACAGTATAAGCCCTGTTTTTAGAAGTTGCAGAAATATGACTGGTATGTATACTTTCTTAGAGGCATTAAGGCTAGCCAATTACGAATACAACGTCAGCAAGCGTCCCTAAGCGAATAATATAACCAACATACTGAAGGTGCTATTTTTAATCAGTTTTTTGTTAATACTTTTTGTAGGTTTTTGAAAAGGTTGACGTGGTTCAAACAAACGTCAAATATTCCAGAACAAAAATATGTGCTTTTTTTTACAAAATTGTAAATGTTTATTTGTATTATGTATAGTTTTTTTGCAATTAATACAAAGACGTAACAACAACTAACAAATGTAGTGAATCATAACACATGAGGGAAAGTTCACCTTTTAAAAACAGCTTTGGATCAATGTATGCTCCATTTTTTAGAATGACAAGGCTGTCTTAATCAAAATTGTCATCTGTAACAAATAAGAAAAAATTATTCTAACGTTTACTTATCAACAAGGGAAGGAATAGGGGTAAATACTTAACTTTTATGTGAGAAAGTTACCCATCCCCTTTACGAGGAGCATTGTGTGGTGAAAAAGGACTTGTGAAAATTTGATGAGTTACTTGTTCGAAAAAGCCACACTGTCTTGGAATAGACCCATGATCTCCCACAAATGGACCCACCACCTAGCCAACTGAGCCATTGAGTGCTTCAAGTATATCTTTATGTACATAAAAGCAGAAAGCACAAGGACTTATATACCGTTATGCGAGTGATGGTTAAATTGCGTTATTTATGTAATTTTTCGAATATTGTAAGATAGTATCTATTAAGTAGCAGATGCGCTGATTGCGCAAAGAAATCGTTGATGTTTACGTCCGTTGACATCGATAAATTTCGTAGAACTTTTGAAATAGTTACCTTAACTAACGTACGCAAAATTGTTCCCAACGTACTGTCTTATATAGCACCTTTGTGTAAGTTAGTGCGTCAGCTCTGGTGACCTTTAGAAACTCCTTATTCAATGACACTCTTAACGTGGAAAAGCTTGGCCAGGCAAGCGCGTTGTTATATATTGAGCATCTTAGAGCTACGTTTAATGAGAACGAAGCACTGAACGATGAGCTCACCACGATTGATCCAAAAAATGCTAAACTAGCACACATGTCTGCTTTAGAGCACAGCTTTATAAAGATCGTGGTTCAGGTAAGAGGCATCTCTACACCAGGCAGCTCTGGTGGAGATAACAATACTTTCTTTGGTATCCTACTCGGAATTTCTACGATCATAAAAGAACAAAAACTGGTACAGCTTTTGGTTGCTAGCCTCCTTTAATTCAGCGGTGATTCTGATAAGAGGCTTTTATTCAAGAATACAGTCCTGTCCATCATTGACACTCGTACTGATATAGATAATCTCAACAAGTTTTTGTACTTAAAAGACTGTTGACAAGGCCCAGCGATTAACAGGCTCTTGTTTTACAATGCCAACGGTGATACTTATACTACGATATGAACGGTGCTTGTAAACAAATATGAAATACCGCACATTTAAATCGGTAAACGCTTTGACGGAATTATAAATGTACCTATACTTGCATACGCGACTTCTGAAGGCTCAACAAAAATCATGCTCGTCAACATCTCAGCACGCTAAAGTCATTAGGAATAAAACTGGAGAGTGGCTTCGTTGTATTATTGCTTTAAAAAAAACTCGCAATTGATACTCGGATGAAATGAGAAGGGACTCTCGATTTTGGCGTTTATCCAACTTTTGTAAAGTTTTGCAAATTTGTGAGCAATACAGCGTTCAGGCTTCAAATAGTGCAGAGTAACACGATTAATACTGGTGGTTCTAATAAGCGCCAGGCAAGGCAAACCAATAATGCTGCGAAAGCCTGCAAGAACAAGTAAGGTAAGCGCTCGCTTGTTAAAGCAACATCCAGCAGTTGCACATATTGCAATGAAATCACTGATTTTTGAGTGTAAAGCCTTTGGTAAACTAACTGTACAAAAGAAATGAGAAGCAGTCAAGACTGAAAAATTGTGCGAAAACTCCTTTTGCACCCACAAGGACTTGCTCTTTTTCTCATTGGAAGCTTTGCGAGCGTTTTCATAACATGTTTTTACACTCAAACACAGTGCGTAACGTCAAGAACAAGCCGGACTCAAATGGGGCCAAGCCCGAACATACTCATAGTACATCTCAAAGGAATAACTAGGCATGAAGAACTTAAGTATAACGTCACAACTTCATGGGCTTAATAAATGCAGAGTGCGATGATTCACGTAAAAAATATTGACGGAAAATCCGTGTAAGCACGTGCTCCTCGGGACACCTGAGTGATCCCAAATCTTATAACAAAAAAATACACAAATCAACTTAAACTTTCTATGCACTTGTACCACATACCTGTAGGGACAATTTATGAGATGCATGCTGTGTCAAAAAGGAAGATAACCATTTAATTTCATTCAACAGATGATGCTTTCCACAAAACTTTAATTTTTTTTACAGTACCCAAAATTGAACTATTCCCTCGCGATCACATTAAAATTCTATCTAATTGTCGATTGGCCAATCTGCTTTTTCATTTACCAAGGACTTTAGGTATTGTGATCGGTGCCAGCGTGACTTAATCTCTGTTCAGGGTGGGGCAACTAAACTTATCATGTGGTGATGAAGATTTAATTTTACAAGAGACACAAGTTTGTCAGAAGACTGTTTCAATGCATTCTGTGGTACCATAAAGGCAAAGTCAGAGCATTTCAGTTCAATACGGTTACTTTCAGCGTGTCTTCGGCCCCTTATCTCCCTACCCACACTATTAAGCAACTCACGGACGACGGGGGTGCAAATTCTCCATGAGCTGACACGGTTTTACAAAATTATTTATACGTGGATAATCTTTTGACAGACATAGATCTAATTCAAGAAGTGTTCAAAATTCGGGATGAGGTTATTTTGATTTTAAAAAGCGTCTATTTCTCTCTGAAATCACGAACAAAGTGATCGCAACGGAAGAGGGTTTTGAAAATTATTCAGTATGAGCAGTTTGAAAACAACATGAAATACATTTTTAACAAAAAAAACATGAAGCATACGAGACTTGACACGCTTACTCTCTTTGTTAATGAGGATGGGTTGCTTTATGTAAGATGCTGATTAGTTAATGTTGAAATAGATTCAGACCGAAAATTTCTGATTCTCTTACCCTTTTACCACCCCGTTACTGATTCAATAATACATAAAACGCACTTGAATTCTTATCACGCTGGCATTCCGAGCACGTTGTGTTTAATTCAACAATGATACTGGTTAACCAACCAAAGAAATCAATGTGAATAATCAATGTGAAAAATCATGCGTCGTTGCATTACGTGTTGAAGGCACAAACCAAACCCAGTTCAAAGCAAAATAAAGAATTTTCTCAAACTGCACGTTACTTAAGCATTTTCACACAATCATCCCCTATACATTAATGAAAGGAATTAAAGGAATCGCGTGCAAATTAAGTCTTACGACTGTGTTTTTATATGCATGGTAATGGAAGCTGTGCAGATTGAGATCA